GCTGTCACAGTATAGGGAGAGCAACTAGGGTCACATAACAATGTATGTATAAATTTTTGTATGAGAGACTAACTTGAATTGTAAACTTTCATTTAAAGTACAATAAAAAAAAATCACTAATGTTAAATTTGAATTGAAAATATTAATATAGACTCATGTTTAAAAAAAAAAATTTCTACCTCTGTCCATTGAAAAGATCTAGAACTCGGACACCCCAGTAGCGATGAGCTCGTGTGGTGCCTGGATCTCTACACCATTCCCTGCTAAAAGGAACCAGGGCTTCACAGAGAAATGGCTGATCTAAGATCTAGGGCGAAGGAAGTCTAAGCAGGACTGGGACAGTTTGTTCTAGAAAGCAGGGAAGACTAACAGGAGTGTTTCAAAAGGGATCCCCCACTGGCCAGATTTGGTTTAATGTGAACATTAAGAACACAATTTATTTTAAGCTTGTGAATAAATAAAAATCCATTCATCCATAGTAATATTTGCCAAAAGAAAGGAAGCTATATAGTTACATCATTGGATTGAATATTATATCAGCTCCTTACTCTGAAATTGGTAATTAAAGGGCCCGCTAACCAAAAGGTCAGCAGTTCAAATCTACCAGCTGCTTCTTGGAAACCCTATGGGACCGTTCTACTCTGTCCTATAGGGTCGCTGTGAGTCGGAATCGACTCAATGGCCACTGGTTTGGTTTGTTTCGGGGTTTTTTTGCATTTTTCGAGGAACATAGTTCGTCCTCAGTTGATGTAGGAAAGCTCTCTTTAAAAAAAAAAAAAATCAGAAAAACACCTTCTATTAAATATAGAAGGAAAGATAAAGACAGAAGATCACCATTCGTCAACCAACCTGAAAACAATAGTTGATTCAGGCAAGAAGCAACAATAAATGCCAAAACCACCCATGGAAGTTGGTTGGGAAGCAGGGTATTTTCCGGGTGACAAAGCATCATCACCCCCTCTAGATTACTACTTTTTTACACATAATTTATTTTTTGCTGTTGTTGAGAGTATACACAGCAGAACGTAGTTTCTACGTGTACAAGTCAGCGACACTGATTACATTCTAGATTACTTCTTAATCATGAAGAGAAAAGTGTATTTTTACAATGGAGAGATTGGCCGATGGTTGAGTTGAGCGTCACTGATAGTGAACACGTCATGTGGCCCCAGTATAACACACAGCATCTCCTATGACCCTCCTTGCCAAAATGCTTAACCAGAATCTAATCAGGCCTCTACACCTAACTTCCAGTTTAAAAAAACAAACAAACCCATTGCCATGGAGTCGATTCAGACTCATGGTGGCCCCATGTGTTACAGAGCAGAACTGAGCTCCATAGTGTGTTCTTGGCTGTAATCTTTAAAGAAGCAGAATCACCACACCTTTCTTCCGAGGAGCTGCTGGGTGGGATCGAAACTCCAACCTTCAGGTTAGTGTCAAGTGCGAACTGTGCCACCCAGGGACGCTAACTACCAGTTTATAGGGGGATGAAAGAACCAGTCCAATAACAACGGAAGGAGGCAACCAGCCCAGTGCAGAAAGTGGGGCATCCTGCAGGACAACTGGCTTGCATCTTTAAAGTCAG